AAAAGAGACATAAACTCATGTTTAACCCTGTAAAGCCTGACATCTGAAATAATAGTCAGTAAAAATACATTTTCTTACTATGTGTAAGTTGTTGTTTTTTTAGCATGTATGTTATTTTTTAGGATTACTCATAAACTACTGTCGTTTGATTTGTATTATTTGTATTTGTTATTTATTTTAATTTGAGTTAAATTATGTCTGAATTTATTATGTCTGTATAGGTCTTTTATTAAGTTTTAGTTTTATTTAATTTGAGTTATTTTACTACTTCAACAAATGTAAATGAAATAATATATATATTGAATTTATAAATGGGTATGTACATATACAGTATATATGTATGTGTGTGTGGTTGTACATACACATATGTAGTTTCTTTAATATTTTGAATTGTTTTTAGCTTTATTTTTGTTTTTCATTTAAATGTTAAGTTTTGAAATTTTGTTGTATGCATTTGTCATTTTTATTTAATTTCTTTATTTTTAAAATGTGTATAGGTAGTATTTATAAAGTTTCAGCTTTTAGTTTTGGATCTGTTTTTAGTTGTTTTAATACTACAATTGATTGCTTCTGTTGTCCTCATTTGGATAAAAGCATCTGATAAATGACTAAAATAAATAAAAAGCTAATTTTAATGGAATGGTTTAGACAAAGTATAATAGAAAAAAAAAAAGGCTTTGCATGTTTGCTTGTTTTTTTTGTTTGGCATTTTATCATGCCTCATATAGCATGATATTTTGAGAATATGGAGGAGAAAAAAAACACCTCAGTTTTATTGAGAGACCTAAACAGAGCAAAATTATGCAATTTGCTGCAAATGTTGATATTGCAAAAAAGTAAGATGAAATTCTGATGCTTGTAATGCAAATCATTGAGATCTTTATTACGGTTTAGCAGACTAACTTACATAAAATGATATCAATATCAGCCGTCATATCTCTATTAACGTGTCTTAGTAAGATGATATCTTTAAATGCTTAGTTTGATGCTCAAAACATAAAATGCAATGCAATACAATGATTGAGAGATGAGCAAATAAAAGTTCCTCAAAAGCCTGATGATTATATCTGATACTCTTGATGTTTCTAAATAAATGATGTATGGATAATCAGGTAAACCGAAGTTGCTTCAGTCCAGTAATTGTTCATCTTGAAATATTTCTAACAAAATAAAAGTAAGAATGAAAGACTTCGCGGCAAAAAAAGACACGTGAAGCACAACCTGAAGGTGGACATACTAGTTATACTAGTCTAGTATTAACTATCAATCAGAAGGCGTTAGGTTTTGATTACGTTGATCGTTTAGAGGCCTTAGAAATGCACGAATCAGATGTGATGCTGTAGGCTTGTGGCTCCGCTAGCAGGCTAGCAAGACAAACAAACCTTTAATAAAGAAAACGACGCCATGGCAACTCCTGGTTTGGGCGTATTATGAAGCTAAAATACCGTGCAATCCTAACAAAGGTTTTATCTTTCTGTTCAGCCCCAGTCTGCAGCCACAGTGCGTGTGAGACACAGGATGTGGTTGTTAGCTTACGGCGTTCAGCATCCCACGCGGCGTTCGCACTGCTTTTTCTGAGAGCTTTAATTAAGACTCGGCGCTGAAACTGGCAAGAAACGGCAAAGACGAGAGAGACCAATGAACGCGCTACCTGTAACGGTTTCTGCGGCCTTGCTGTCAACCTGTCCAGACACGAATTCTTCCACTAAACCCAGCAGCACACTGTTATCCGCGGCCATCCTGAAGAAGAGTAGCCAGCCAGGCTTCAAACTCAGCTGCGCATGCGCACAACAGCTTCTTCTTCTTCTTCCCCTCTTGCTCACTATATCCCATACCATCCACACTCCTCCCCGCCATTTGTTAACGTTGATAGGATGAAGCCGACAAAGAAGCTATGGGGCAACACCGCTAACGCACAACAGCTGCGGCTGCCGCGAAAGGACTTTCTTCTTCTTCTTGGTGTTTAATGGCGGATGGCATACAACTTTTAGGTGCATTACCGCCACCTACTGATTAGGAGTGTGGATCAGGACCGTACTCTTCACTAAATTCTATTATATAATCCCGTGTCCTTTAAATAACGCATTAAAAATTGAAAGTTTTTATCCCCTGATTTATTCCCCAAAATGTTCATCAAATTAAGTTTTTCTTTATTTTCCTTGAGGACAAGGACTTTCTTCTTCTTCTTCTTCTTCTTGTTTTATGGCGGGTGGCATCCGCGAAAGGACTTTTGTTTTTAGTTCACAAAACGTACAAAACATTATTTAACAGCTAAGATAATTTGAGATAAAGAACAAACAACAACAATAATAATACAGGAATAAACATTAAAAACAAACAAACAACTTTTTATTTTATTTTATGTAGTTTTCAGAATTATTTATTTAATTATTTATTTTGTGTAATCAAGTACACAACTTAAGGTTGACTTGTGATTTTAAAACATAGCTAAAATAATTAAAATAATAATGATTTAGTTTTGTTTTTCAGAAAAACGTTGGTTTTGTAAATAAGGTGACATTTTTAAGGTTCTATTTTTTTTTAAATGTCCATTTTGTCCATTAAAAATGGCATGTCCAATTTAAAATGACTCCAAAATGACAATAAAATGGCTATAAAAATAAATATTCAATATTACAATGAAAGAAAACGTCTTTGTTATGAAAGATTCATCTGATACATTTGCATACATCACTCAAACACACAGAGTGCGTCAGAGATTTCTTAAAGTGGTGGAGACGCCAAACTCCGGACCCGTATCGTTCGTAAGGACTAGCAGATCTTGAAATATCAATACTTTCTGATACTAATGTTGTATGGTCTCACATAAATTATCGATCTGAAGTGTTGTATTATTTTGTTTTGTTTTATTTTATTTTATTTTTACATTTAGCAAAACGTTGCGTAAGACAGGAACCATTTTTCACTTCTTCTTCTTCTTTTTACTCTATTTCAACTGATCAGTTTTTTTAGACTGTTTTAATAATAGTTTTAATGCTTTGTTTAGATTTTAGTTTTTTTTTTTTTTTTTTAATCTCTTTTTTATCTCTCCACAGTCCACTGCATTTTCCGAGCGGAGTTTGAAGGCTCCCTCTAGAGGAGGGGCTCTGGTGGAGTCACATGGTCAGAGTGCGCATGCGCGGTGTGCGCCAGTAACGTGAACTAGTAGGAAACACCAGTGGGGGGGGAAAGGTGGACTAGCGAGAGATAAAGAGCAGAGGCAGGTTTGCGACGCAGAAATGATTTGATACACCACAAAGTAAGCGCGGAATAGTCTACATATCTCAAATACCAGTCTCGCTGATGTTGTTTCTTTTTTTTTTTTTTAGACTGGATTGATGACTTCAGGATAAAGCTCGTGTTCTTGGCTAGCCGCTGTAAGTTAGCTAGTTAGTTGTTAGTTAGACTTCCCTTTAATGCACGTACTGCTGCTATATCAACCGTAGCGCAGTAGTCATTTGAAGTGCAGTACTGTTTCCGTTTGGGAAATCAAATAATAACAAAGCAGGAGTGAATATAGAGGCTGTCTTGAGATGTGGCCTGCGTTTGATTGACAGTCATGGGAGGATGCGTGGGGCGAGAGCGCGAGGAGTCACGCAGACGAGCCTCGAGGACGCAGAGGAAACGTGGAGGTGAGAGAGTTTGGGACGTTTGCATGCTTGTTTCTGTCTATGGCTTTAATTGAAAACATGCAAATATCAGGTGCATTGACTTAACCTGATTGATGTGGAAAAGACAAAAAACATAAACAAAAAATACCACCATGTTGCAAGCTATTATATGTGAACTTACAAATGGTATGCCTGTGGCACTTAGATACCGTAGGCTTGCCATCAATATAATAGGACAGTATATTTTTCTAAAGAATGTTTGTTTTCTTATGCAAGGATTTTTTTAAGGCTGCACTTAAAATTATTTTAATAAATTAATTATTTAATTAGCAGTTATTAAATATATGCATATTTCAGATGTATTAAATCCCACAATATATCAAAACAAAAAAGTGCCATGGTATTGCACACGCATGCACATTATTTTATATGTTTGCACTATGGTATTCTTTGAAATATATTGATTACATGTAAATACTATGTTGTGTGTGTGTATGTGTATGTATATATATATATATATATATATATATCA